TCATAGGCTTTCAAACATTTGTGGATGTGGGGACATTTCAGTGCTGATGAACTGGCTGGTCCAGTCTCCTGAAAGGGAGCCTAGCTTTTTATTCTGCTAAACAGAACTTTTATTCCTTTGTGTTACAGAACATACAAATCGCCTTGGGATATATTTATGTGGAAGGAGAATCACAACTTATTAATAATACATTTCTGAAAATATGGATTCACTGCTTTACCCCACCACCACCACCACCAAAAAGAAAGAGAATGTTCTATAATACAGAAATAACTTTAAGATATTGTTGGGTAACTCTTGGAACGGAACCCTGATTGTGAAAGGAACATCTAATTTAGATATTCAGAGGAAATTTTTCATGCACTCCAGCCCCTCATAAAACTCATCAGCATGTTAGTACAATTTTTTCCTCAAATACACATGTTCCTAAGCGGTTTTGCCTAGTATAATGCATTTTATGTGTTATTATTGCTAATGTATGCATTTATATGCACATTTTACTCTAGTATATGCATTTTGGTATGCATTACTTGGCTGGAGAAGCACATTGCAAAATTCAGAGAAGTGTGAATTTTGAAGGCAGGCTGTGTTTTGGCTTGGGTACTGTTTAAGAAAGTGTGGATTAAGTAGATTCTCCTTCAAATGAGAATGGAATTTGATTTCTCCCCCATTCCTAGTCCCAGCCTTAGAAGTGGGAAGGAGGCAAGCTTGGGAGGAATGATGGAAGCTGCCACACTCATGCACATCCATATCTGAAAACACATCCGGGCATTTGTGCATGTCTTGTTGTTGTTTAGTCGTTTAGTCGTGTCCGACTCTTTGTGACCCCATGGACCAGAGCATGCCAGGCACTCCTATCTTCCACTTCCTCCCCCAGTTTGGTCAAACTCATGCTGGTAGCTTCGAGAACACTATCCAACCATCTCGTCCTCTGTCGTCCCCTTCTCCTTGTGCCCTCCATCTTTCCCAACATCAGGGTCTTTTCCAGGGAGTCTTCTCTTCTCATGAGGTGGCCAAAGTATTGGAGCCTCAACTTCACAATCTGTCCTTCCAGTGAGCACTCAGGGCTGATTTCCTTAAGAATGGATAGGTTTGATCTTCTTGCAGTCCATGGGACTCTCAAGAGTCTCCTCCAACACCATAATTCAAAAGCATCAATTCTTCGGCGATCAGCCTTCTTTATGGTCCAGCTCTCACTTCCATACATCACTACTGGGAAAACCATAGCTTTAACTATATGGACCTTTGTTGGCAAGTGCATGTCTTAGAAGCAGCTTATTGCAAATGGTTGTAAACTTGAGAATATTGCCAATATCACTATTGGCAGTAGTAGTAATAGGCAGGATTGAGCAATTGTGTCACATGCAGTTTTGATGCTGCAGTAGAAAATGTGGGCTGACCAAAAATGTTGCACTTCAACTGATGCAACCACAGCATCCACCACAGAGAGATTCAAAGTACAGGAATGAAATGTTGGGATTCGCAGGATCATGAGTAAGTCTTCAGGCTTCAACAGGCTGATGCAATACTCTGTTAAGTGCTGGGTCAGAGTGACTCAGCAGGAATGTGATTGGCTATCACCTGTTTTAAAAGGAAAGCCTGTTCAACGGTGGTTGTGGTTGTGCTGTAGTGTGGTGGTGCTGTGGTGGAGAATACCTGTAAGAACCGAAGAAAAGGTGGGGAAAGGGCACAGCAGTTGCTATTTCTTGGGTATGAAAGTGGTACGAAAGCCTACAGGTTTGAAGATGATAACAATCTTTTGAGTTATAGTCGATCAGCCAACTTTAATGAGCAAAGAAATTGGCCCAAGATACATGCAAACCTGCTCCCAGAAAAAGTTTTACTGCCGAGCGTACCTGTTAAGGCAGCTGAAACAAAGCTAAGAATTGGCAGCTCTCCCAGAGAAACTGAAAGGGAGGAGGTAAAGGTTGAGCATTTTTCTCCAGCTGCTAGCATGGAGCAAGGGAGAAGAGAAAGTGCAACAGGGACAGGAGGAGGTAAATCTCCAGAATCAATCCACCCCAAAAGCAGTCCTGAAGGTAGCCCAGGGGGTGAGATTAATGAACCAAAGAGGTCTGCAAGAAATAATAAAGGTCAGCCTCCAAACCGTTATGGGTTCCCAGCCACCATAAACCAGGTTTGTGTAACTGAGCCAGAAAACTTTGAAGAAGTGCAAGAGTTACCTACTCTAGAGAAAGAGGCGTGGTTAAAGGCAATGCAGGCAGAGTATAACTCTCTGCTAAACAACAATGTGTTTGTACCTACAGAATTGTCTGAAGGTAAAAAGCCCATAAGCTGTAAGTGGGTTTTTAAAGTGAAAAAGCTGGCTGATGGTAGTTGTCAGAGGAAAGCCAGGTTGGTTGCAAGGGGCTTTACACAAAGAAAAATGATACATTATGATGAAGTGTTTGCCCCAACCGCAAAGGCTGAAACAGTAAAATCAGTTTTAGCAATGGCAAGTCTGAGAGGGTTGAAAGTTAATCATTTTGATGTTGCCTCAGCATATTTAAATGCTCCTATTGACACCGAGGTGTATTTACAGCAAATACCAGGTTATGAGCTGGAAAAAGACAGCATGGTGTTAAAGCTGCAAAGGGCACTCTACGGTTTACACCAAAGTGCACGTCTATGGCATGAATACATAGACACAACTTTGAAAAAGATGGGATTCAAACAAAGCCTGGCTGATTCCTGTTTATATTCAGCAATGGTGCAAGGAAGTGTTTGTTATTTACTTTTGTATGTTGACGATATCTGTCTAATAACAACTGCACAAAAGCAAGTGTCTTGGTTTATAAACAGCCTAGGTAACAAATACAAACTGAAGTATTTGGGAAAGATTCAGAATTACTTAGGAGTAGAGGTTCAGAGAAATGAAGAGGGCGTCTACTCTCTGAGTCAGAAGGAAAAAATCGAAAAGTTACTGAAGACATATGGAATGGAGAGGGCAAATGAGGTTGACATTTCCATAACTACCCAGTACAAAAATGAACCAGAAGGTCAAAAATGTGAGAATGCAACAGCATTTCATTCTATGTTGGGTTCTCTGTTATATTTAAGTTGTTGGACAAGACCCGACATAACATTGGCAGTGCACATGTTAAGCCGAAGAAGTGCAGACCCGGCTCAGAGAGATTGGGTAGCACTTAAAAGAATCCTAAGGTATCTGAAAGGCACAAAGATTACAAACTGGTGCTGGATACAGGATATGATCAGCAAGTGTATGCATACGCTGATGCCAGCTGGGGGGACAGAGAAAATGGAAAGTCTACCACTGGCTATGCCATATATATTGGAAATGCCCTGGTTCAGTGGAAATCCCAGAAACAAACATTTGTTGCCACAAGTACTTGTGAAGCAGAGTACTTAGCCACAAGCGAATGTGTGTCACAAATAGAGTGGTTTGCTTGTCTAACAAAAGAACTTGGAATACCTTCTGAAATGCCAATCACTGTGCTAAGTGACAACATGGCTGCACAACAGCTTGCTAACCAACAGAACTTTAAGAGCAAGAGTAAACATATTGCTATAAGATACGGAAATGTGAAAAATGCTTTGGAAAGAAATGTGTTAAAGGTACAGCACTGTAACACAAAATGTAATGTGGCGGATTTGTATACAAAATGTTTGGATGCTCCTAAATTTCGAGACTTAAGAGAATTACTAGGTCTCAAGCCTTTGACTTAAGGAGGAGTGTTGGGATTTGCAGGATGATGAGTAAGTCTGCAGGCTTCAACAGGCCAATGCAATACTCTGTTAAGTGCTGGGTCAGAGTGACTCAGCAGGAATGTGATTGGCTATCACCTGTTTTAAAAGGAAAGCCTGTTCAACGGTGGTTGTGCTGTAGTGTGGTGGTGCTGTGGTGGAGAATATTCGTTTGCCTTAAGGTGCAGGTACTCTGTATGAACTGCTTTTGTAAATACTTGTATATAGCTCACATTAAAAAGACTGCGACAGGCAGAACATGTTGTTTGCAAACCGTGAAAAGGGATTTTTATGTACCTCTTTACAAGGAGACCCAGGTGACTCCTGTGGGGGATGGGCTGTAGGTATCCAGATGTGCTGTAATATTATGAGGCTCTCACTGTAACGCAGGATCAATTTGTCACTCTGAGGACCTAGCTTTAATGATGTGATTAGCCACCAGATTGCGGTATTTTGAAAAATAAAAGAACAAGTGAGGGGGTGGGGGTTGCCATCAGCACCGTAGCATGTTGACAGGGGGGTGGTTTAAGCCTCTCCCCACCCTCCAGCCATGATCTTGGGGAACACCGTGCTGCAATTAGCAGTAAGAAAAACCTTACCTAACTCTTAGGTGAGGGGGAGATTTTTATCAAGACTTTTGTTGAAGTGGGAAAGTTTAAACCTCCCCTCCCTGTACACTGTGGCACTGAAAATCACCTCTCACCCGTCCCTGGCATTTTATTTTCATATAAACCACAACAGGATTGCTAATCGCATAATTAACATATTGTGCAGGCAGGCCCTCAGCTGCAGGAGAAAGATGCAAGTTTGGCATGGAATATACTTTTCCGCACTATTGGCAGAGTACAGGCTGGGCTGAACCGCTCTACATATTTCATCCACCTTGCACATGATTTATACTAATCGATTAAGGTGTGGTGCAGCCTGTAGGTCTAATTAAACCCGGTGTAGGTCATACACTCATATAATCATAGACTTGTAGAGTTGGAAGGGCTCTCGAGGGTAGTCTAGTCCATGGGCAGGCAAACTAAGGCCCGGGGGCTGCATCTGGCCCAATCACCGTCTAAATCCGGCCTGTGGACGGTCCGGGAATCAGTGCGTTTTTACATGAGTAGAATGTGTCCTTTTATTTAAAATGCATCTCTGGGTTATTTGTGGGGCATAGGAATTCATTCATATATATTTTTTCAAAATACAGACCCTACAAGGTCTGAGGGACAGTGGACTGGCCCCTGGCTGAAAAAGTTTGCTGACCCCTGGCTCTAGTCCAACCCCCTGCAATGCATGAAGCTTTTTGCCCAAAGTGGGACCTGAACCCACAACCTTGAGATTAAGAGTCTCCTGCTCTACCGACTGAGCTATCCTCCGGTTCCCCCTGAAACCATGCTCAGGTGCCCTACACCTGATGTCACAAGTGAAGTGCAGGGCATGTAGAGATGTGGCAGCTCATGTGCAATTGGTAGCCTTAAAGTGTGCTGCTGGTTGTGCAGTGGCAAGAGAGGCAGGCTGTTACCATTGATGACTGACAGTTAGAATGAGCCTGTTGGGATTGACTGGGCTACTGAGTACTCCACGGGGGACTCAGCCAACCCCTGTCCAAAGCAGGACATGAGGACCTCCGGCAGGCTTGAATTCACCCCACAACTCCAGGATTCACTTGCCTTGGGTTTTCTTTTGCAATGTGGTTTGTCATGCTATCCAAGAAAAAATGATCACCTGGTGTCATATTGAAGCCAGGTGATTGACAGGCGGCCAACATCCCACAATCCCGTCAAAGTGGCCACTGGGGTTGCCAGAACTCAGGATGCTGTCTGCCGATTGGATCCACAACAAGCCTAATCCGGTGGGAGAATTGGAATTTTAATTGCATATAAATTCTTCTTCCAGTGCAATGTGTTTTTTCTTATTTGAAGCCTGCTGAAAGAAAAATAAGCACTTAACAATCCAGGGATATTTGGAGATTCCATTCTTTACAGCCTAGCTGGGGGGCTTTTCCCCAGCTGATGAGCAGAAGGCAACATTTTTATTTTTAAAGTATTTTTACCCCTCTCTTCAGTTGGAAAAAAGGTTCCCATAGCATAGTGACTTAGAAATATCAGTAATACGACAGTCCTTGTCCTCGGACTCACAGTCTAAAAGACACAACAAGAGAGGAGAATAGATCAGGGGCAAAAGTCAGACATTTCTTAAGTCTGCTAGATCAGTCCAAAGGCACATCTAGTCCAGTGAAAAACCAGCAAGCGTGTTTCAAACACAAGGGCGTTCTCCTTCGCTTTGGTTTCCAGCAACTGATAGCCAGAAGCATTGCTGCATTGTTGTCAGTAGCCTTCAATAGTCTTCCTCTCCTCCTAATGAGGAAACATGTTTGAAATGCTATGATCCTGCTTCAGTGCAGATGGGGCCTTAATTGCTTAGGTATTATATATCTGGTTCTTTCCCAACAAAGATATACCCCAACTATAGATTTCAGAGTTTCCCCCCCCCTATGGGTCAACATGATTATCTTTACTTTGAGCCTTTTCCTGGGCTCTACTGTTAAAAGATGAAAATACTGATTATGGGATGTTGCGGGTGGTGAGTGGGTGGGTGGGTGGACTCTAACAGTCCTGTCAATCTGTGTGTGCCAGTTATCGGTTGTTGGTAATGCTTAAAGTAGAAATCTGCTTGTGTAATGCTTGGGAGCAGCTGGGTGGGAGTGTTTTTACGAAAGCCACCAGAGTGTTTTCACAAAACAAAGGCTATATCTGTTTTGGTTTAACTTGGGAGCACTTTAGGAGAAGTTATTTTTGATTCCCGTCAGCTTTTGTGCTGCAGAGTGGAACCCCGACCTGATTTCGCTCCATCTTTTATGCAAGCCTCGTTTCCCTCTCCAGCTGCCACTAATGCTCTGCGGCGATGAGCGAAAGGTTAATGTGCTGCAAAAGTAACTGTGATAATCCTGGGCTGTAATTTACCCTATTTACTGTATCAATACGAATTAATACTTAGATGAGTTAAACAGAACAGGAAATGTCTGGATGAGCAGCATATATTTCTCTCTGTGTGCATCTCTCGTCTCTCCTTCCCTCCCATCAACAGACCCTCGTTTAATTAGGCACCACAGCAGCTGTAGGAGGTGCTTCCCTTTTGCCATTTTGTGCAAACCTTGATTTTTATTTTTATTTTTAAAGCTTTAGAGAGCAGTGATTCAGGAGGTAAAAACAGCAGGACTTTGGGTGTTATTTATAAACTCTGTGCCGGAAACTATTTCAAGGTCTGCAGCAGGGTAACTCAAGCACCATTTACTTTACCCAGTAATTTCAAGTGCAGAGGCTCAGTGACAGAGCTAATGGCACCGTTGCCCCACTGGAACCACATTAACTTCTTGATCATTTTGGCTCAAATTGACAAAAAAACCCAAAATGAAACAAAAATTCTCAGTGTTGTCTGCTGCCAAAGGCACCAATTGGCTCACTTAATCCTACGGAATGGTGCTAGCTTTAGATGTTGCGGCATCTGAAGCGAAAAATTGAAATGTCACACACACTCCACACACATTTGGCCTTAAAAAATAATAATTGGTGGTGAGCCATAACTCTTCCAATAAATAAATAAATAAATAAGCCACTTTTCCAGGTCTCTGTCCGACTAAGGCATATTCTAAGGAGATCTGCCAAAATTAAGTTCATTAGGTGGTGTTCAATTCAGTCCTACTCAGAGTAGACCCATTGAAATTAATGGCTCTAAGTTAGGATATGGCCACACTCTTGTTTTCTGAGCACCAACTGCATTTCTAGTGCCGAGTTTTTACTCCCTGTTAGAATGATAGAATAGAATCATAGAGTTGGAAGAGACCACAAGGGCCATCGAGTCCAACCCCCTGCCAAGCACTGTTCATGTGATGTTATCCAAAAAGCATATGTATCCTGTACTTTGTTATGAAATACTACTACAGTCAAACCTCGGTTGTCAAACATAATCCATTCCGGAAGACCGTTCGACTTCTGAAACGTTCAACAACCAAAAACTGAAAGCAGAAGCCTCAATACAATAGGGAAACTCAAAACGGAAGCCGCGTAGCACGTTCGGCTTCTGAAAATAGTTTGAAAACTGGAGCAGTTACTTCCGGGTTTTTGGCATTTTGGAGCCAAAACATTCCAAAACGGAGGTGTTCAGGAACTGAGGTTTGACTATATTTGATGCCTTGTTTCTCCAACCAGCTTCACATCTGTTGGAGTCCTTAAACCATTCCTAATTCATCTCTAGCCAAGGTGTGAACACCTTCACACACAGAGCAAAGGCATCCCAGCCAGTGGAAGTTGGGCAGCTTCTGACAAGACTGGGCTATGATTTCCTTGTTTTCTGGTGGCCCCAACTCCTTGGAACCTCTTATTGCAAAGAGTTAAAAGGAATTTGAGAGAGGGAGGCAGATAGAGGGACGGGTGGGGGTGGGGTTCACAAAATGGTCCGTTGGTCCAATTATTCTTGGCCTTTCTCTAATTAGTATGGTAGTTTAGCAAGATGTGCTCGAAGATAAATGCCAAGCACTTTATAGCTCTCTGCCCTGCTGGAATGCTATTGATGGAGATGGAGTATAAGGAGTTCAGAGTAAGCCAAGTAGGGAATACTCTGTACAACCTGCGGGTCTCATGAAGCAATGACCTTTTTTTGAACACAAGCAAGTTACTACTTCATTAGGGGTGCAAGAGAAATTCAACTGAGTGTGTGTTTAATCTGTCAAATTCACCTTATCCTAAACAATATGAGAACATTATTTGGTTGGAGAACTGCCTCACAAAATTCTGATAAGTGAAAATAAAAACAGATACTTGACATGCCATAGAATCATGAAACTGGAGAATTGTAGAGTTGGAAGGGACCCTAAGGATCATCTAGTCCAACTCCTTGCAATGCAGGAATATGCAGTTGTCCCATACGGGGATTGAACCTGCAACCTTGGCATTATCACCACAACACACTAACCAACACAGCTATCCTAGAAGGATATGAATATGCACTTCCCTGGAGATCCAGAGTGCACTTGTTTGTTATACTTAAAACTTGCTCTTCATTGCAGATGCCTTTTGCTTCATTGAGATGATGAAGCTTTGATTTATTAATGGATGCTCTGTATCTCTCCTCTCTAGGGTGGGTGGGTGTGTGTGTGTGTGATTCCATGCCTAGCCTACTAATCCTGTGCTTGTAGTGCTGCCTTAAAATGTAAGTACAAAACAATGATGAGAAAGGGCAAGCCAGTTCTTTTGCACTTTAAAAATGGCTCCTAAATATATCCTTTAGAGTACAGTTGTCAATGACTGTTCCCTTTAAAGTGGAGGAGGCGTATTGTATACCTTGCTTTGTAACTAAAAAAGAAAGAGCACTCTCCTCCAACTTCACAAACCTACTGGGCACACTCTGGCCTCTGCCATCAATGGTGGGAGCAAGGGCCTCTGGAAAGGTGATCCCTTGTCTACGCATGCGCGAGCGCCCAATCCCAGAAGTAACCTGTTCCAGTACTTCCAGGTTCAGCGCAGTGCACAACCCGAAAACGCAAAACCTGAAGCATCTGTAACCAGAGGTATGACTCTGCCAGACTTTCTGCAATAAGCAATGCAATAGAAAAACACAGTCGAAAGTGTGGAATAACACTTGCCTTGATGCACATCATCTACCTTCTCCCAAGCAAATCAGGACAGATGCTCGTTAAATAGCCAACGCAGTCTGATCTCCCTGCAAACAAATCGGGACAAATGCTCAATAAACAGGTTGTTTGGAAGTGCCCTGCCTTAGTATAAGGCAGCTTCCTGTATTTTGATGTTCCTATGTTTCTCCAGCACCTAGGTGCTATAAATGCTTAATAAACAATACATATAATTGTTATAAAGTATGAGGCTTGACCCTGTTTCATTCCCATGTTTGCACTTGAAGATGACTCTGACTGCTTTCCATCTGTTTGAAACTCATCTTCTGATTAAAGAGGAACTTTAAAGAGAGTCTCTTTTAATTCCCTCCCTGGCATTTCCTCCTCCTTTGAAGCTGATAAATGTCTAATTTCCCAGTCTTGCAGATGCGCTTAAGCTATGGAACCTTTAAGCTCCCATAAGGCTGTGGGGAGCTTATGCAACCTTTGGTCCTGACCACAATGTCATCCGTGAGACATGCCAAGTATTTCTTGGGCAGAAGCAAATTACGAACCGTTCTGTTTACTTATAGTAAGGAATGAATGCATTCCCCTGCCTCTTTTGGGTTCCAGAATTGAAACGTTTATTTTCCATAGATGGAAATATTTTGTCTAGTAACACAATAAAGCCACAACATCCCCATCACAAGAATGTATGTTTGTATATGAGCCATATACTCAATTTTCGTCATAATTGTGAGAGAGACATGG